TGTCCAAGGTGTTAGAGGAGGGGGGGAGGAGGCAGAAAAATGGAACTTCCCATTTTGGAAGTGGGGAAGTTCCGCTTTAAAGAACTAAAAGAAAAAGAAGTTTGTTAAATCCCCCAGAGGATCCTGTGCATAACACACCTGGCCTCTTCTTAAACTGTTGCTGAATCAGAAAGGTAGTCCCACGCACCTGTCTAGCTATCCAATAACACTGATTTAGAGGCGATGGAGTTCTGAGTGACAGCTCAGAAGGAGAGGGGGCATGGCAGTCAGAGAAACTCTTCCCCCAAGCTGTCAGACAGAACATCATTCTGCTGCGCAGTGCTGTCTCTTCATATCTCCTGTTTAATTTACACAGAATCCAGGTCTACCCCCCTCCTCTATCACACAATCTAATTAGGGCTCAAAGTGAGTGGAAACTGTCAGCTTGTGTTGTGAATGACTGCAGCTGCAGAAAAGTGCTTTCATTCATAAAAACAAGCTAACAACTACACAAGCCAGGTATTAGCTAGTGTTTTTGCAAATGAAAGCGCACTTCTCCAGCTGCAAACAGCATAGGCAAAAGAATTACACTAATACCTAGTTAAAACAACAAAAACATTTAAAGCCTAAAATACCTTTAAAGGATAAGTACACGTTTTGGAACATGCTTCATGTTCCACCTGTTTTAGGGTGGAATATGTAACATGTTCCTGATCCTGTAGCTGCCACCCGCTGTCCCCCTCTCCCTATGACAGAAGTACGGGGAGAACATCCCTGTACTGGCTGTCACTTTTCAAAAACAGCAAGGCCTGTGCGGGGCTCCTCTGTGAATGAATTGACTACAGGTCCCAACAGCCTTAGTGGCTGTCGGCTTGTAGTCCTCAATGAACTACCATGGCACTGTGAGCGCTGTGGTAGTTCATAGATTCTTCCTGTCAGAAATGTACGGGATGTACGAGCAAGCAGATACATTGACAGTTTGCAGGAGATCTACATGGCATCAGCGATCTGCTGATCGCTAGTGCAATTCTTTATAGGCTCCTAACACAAAAAAATTATAAATTCACATTTTGTTTACCAACAAAACAATGTGCATGTATTATTTTTTATGTAAAGGTGAACTTTTCCTTTAATGGGGACATATTCTATGTGTACAAGGACCACTGGTAAATTTAACAAGCTTTTTTTTTTTTTGTACCTGGTCATAGTTTTAGTAGCATTTCTGACACAGGTGTGTTTGCTGGAGAACACTAACATTTCACTAAAAGGTTTCAATTGTTACCTAGAATTGCTCTTTAAAACAAGAAGAAACTGTGAAAATAAGAACATATACAATATCCTAATATTTCCCAATACCGCTTCTGCAAAACTAGAGCAACTCCAGAAATTGTAGCAAAAAAAAAATGAAATATACACGTTTTCCTGAGTTAAATAATATCTCATACGTGCATTTTATGAAATGTACAGCAGCAATAGATGGTTGAAAATTTAAAGTATTTAAAAGTATCTTTTTATGCTACTTTATAGTAAATAATTTTTATATACATTGTTACAGAAACATTAATGGATGGTTCACACCAGACCCTGCAAGGCGTGTTTGTTTTTGACAGCCCATTCATTTCAACAGGCTTACAAATGTGCAGTAACATGCAAAAAGTATGGCAGGCACAACTTTTAAAACTCACTGCACCAAACCACATGGTACTACTGTACCTTGGGGTATTTACTAAAATTGGAGAGTGCAAAATCTGGTGCAACTCTGCATAGAAACCAATCAGCTTCCAGGTTTTTATGCCAAAGCTTAACTAGTAGCCGACCGCAGATAGCCGAATGATGGCTGCACTGCGGGCCGGCCAGTTCTGGGTGGACGTCATATGACGTCCTCCCAGAACGCGCTCTCCTGCGCGCCCCAGTGGGCGCGCACCCGGCGATCTCCGTGATCGCTGTGTCCTACGGACACAGCTGATCACGTGATGTGGTAAAAGGCCAATCACAGCGGCCTTTTACCACGTGATCAGCGGTGTCCAATGACACGCTGATCAGAGGAAAATGCAAGTGCCGGTTCTCGGCTGCACTTTCCTCACGCTGTCAGATCGTGAGGAAAGTACTGCCGAGAACCGGCAGTTGTCAGAACGGGGATCGGCACCGATCATCAGGGCACTGATGATCAGTGCCCTGATGATCGGTGCCCAGCAGTGCCGCCCGCAAGTTCCGCCCACCTGTGCCCAGCAGTGCGCCCACTAGCTCCGCCCACCTGTGCCCAGCAGTGCACCCACCTGTGCCCAGCAGTGCACCCACCTGTGCCACTCTGCAGTGCCAACTACCTGTGCCCAAAAGTGCCACCTACCTGTGCCCAGCAGTGCCACCCACCTGTGCCCACCAGTACCACCCACCTGTGCCCACCCACCAGTGCTGCCCACCAGTGCCACCCACCAGTGATGCCCACCAGTGCTGCCAGTCAGTGCCACCAGTCAGTGCCCAGGGGTTGTGCCAGTCAGTGCCGCCAGTCAGTGCCCAGCAGTGATGCCAGTCAGTGCCGTCTATCAGTACCCATCATCAGTGTCACCTATCAGTGCCGCCTATCAGTGCTGCATATTAGTGCCGCCTATCCGTGACACCTCATTAGTGCTGTCTATCAGTGCCGCCTATTCGTGCCACCTCATTAGTACTGCCTATCAGTGCCCTTTAGTGCTGCCTATCAGTGCCCATCAGTGCCACCGCCTATCAGTGCCCATCAGTGCTGCCTCATCAACGCACATCAGTGAAGGAGAAAAAATACCTGTTTGAAAAATTTTATAATAGAAACAAAGAAACTTCTTTTTTTTTTTCAAATTTTTTACATTTTTTTTATTTTTTTAGCGCAAAAAGTAAAGTGCCCAGTGGCGATTAAATACCACCAAAAGAAATCTCTATTTGTGAGAAAAAAATGATCAAAATTTCATATGGGTACAATGTTGCATGACCGCGCAATTGTCAATCAAAGTGCGGCAGCGCTGAAAGCTGAAAATTGGCCTGGTAAGGAAGGGGGTATAAGTGCCTGGTAGGCAAGTGGTTAATTGAACAAGCTGACGTTAGAAGCTGATTGGCTATCATGCAGAGCTGCACCAGATTCTGAGTGCACCAGTTTTAGTAATCTACCCCCATGTGTTCTGGTGGCTGCACTGCACCCATGGTTATTAGATGTGTTTAGGGTTTCATTTACCAATTAAAAGCACATCCATGTTCCCATGCGGTGCAGCAAACGCACACGGAAACGTGAGTTTCCTGCTCCACAGTTGGTGTGAATGGGCTGTCGGACTAAACTTGATACACGGCAGTGACAGTTGACTTTTTGATGAACAGCACATGCAAAAATGCTGAATGTCAAGTTACATGTCATCCACAGCACTTTGTTTAGAGTTAGACAAGTGGGGTAAATTATTTTTATAGTTTACTTTTCTTTACTATTATCACTAGTTGCTTTGCAATAGTGTGTATTTGCTACTTGTTATAATCAAGCAATATATAAATAGTCCATGACAGTAAACAGTGAGCCTGACTAGTGATCATATCTAAAGGAATGTTGGAGATACCTTCTTTGGTATAGCTTCTGTGTGCAGATGGCCCCAGGTCAGCAGATAAGTTTATCAGAAATTAAACAAAAATTCACTGACAGAAAGAAAAGGTTGCTTTTTCGGCAAGCTGTGAGGTCAGCTGGCCCCCAAAATAAGTAACAACTTAACATAGGATATCTGATCAATCAAAAATCACACCCATGGTAAAGATTTTCTTCACCCCCACATGCACATCCCACTACTCCTTGGAAGCTGGGTGATCTCTCCATTACTGCCTACCAGATATAGGATTATCTGATGGAAAATTACAAGTCACCTGATGTCACTGTACTGATAATAAAGTCACAGCTTGCAAAACACAGCTCATAAATCAGCAGCTTATTGAGATTAGTTCCTATCACTATGAAACTGCAGAATAGTCTGTCAAACATTTTCATATGTAGTTGTTTTTTTTTTTTTAAAAAAGTCTGCTTAGCCATGACAAAATTGTGGGCTAATGGTGTAGAGAATCCACGATCTCTCTAGTGCTGTAACATACATACGCTGTGATCATTAGCTTCAGTTTCATCTTACAGTTCAGAGTTTTCTTTTACCAAAGGATTTTATTAAAAACAAGCCTGAAGCTCCAGGTGAAACATATTACATTAAATCGGAATGCATGTAGACATCAAAAGATGAAGTACCATAACCAGAAATATACAGTGGATGATCACTGCAACAGAAAGCGCAAAGTTAAAATGACGAGAATAATTCTTTAACAGTAAGGAACATTCACAAGGGGTACGTCTCTGAGTAGTTGCTAAGAAGAGAGAGATGAGGATGAAAGGAGATGAGAGGAGATGAGGATGAAAGGAGATGAGGAGAGGAGAAGAGAAGAAAAGGGGGAGAAGTGAAGTGCATGTAAAAGAGGAAAAAGGGAAGGTTGACAAGGATGGCTAGTGGAGGCCTCTTAATAGAAAAGAGAATAGGGCTTAACCACTAGCCTACCGGGCACTTATACCCCCTTCCTGCCCAGGACAATTTCCAGCTTTCAGCGCTGTCACACTTTGAATGACAATTGCGCGGTCATGCAACACTGTACCCATATTAAATTTTTATCATTTTTTGGCGACAGATAGAGCTTTATTTTGGTGGTATTTAATCACCTCTGGGTTTTTTATTTTTTTTTATTTTTAAACAAACCAAAAATCACTGAACATTTTGAAAAACAAATGTTTTTTCTTACTTTTGTTATAAAATGTTGTAAACAAGTGATTTTTCTCCTTCACTGATGTGCGCTAATGAGGCTGCAGTGATCGGCACTGATAGGCTGCACTGATGGGCATTGATAGGTGGCACTGATGGGCACTGATGAGGAGGCACTGGTAGGTGGCACTGATGGGCATTGACAGGCATCACTGATGGGCACTGAAAGGCAGCACTGATATATGACACTGATAGGCAACACTGATGGACACTGATAGGCGGCACTGATGCACACTGATAGGCGGCACTGATAGTTGGCACTGACTGGCACTGATAGGTGGCACTGATTGGCAGCACTGACTGGCAGTGATGGGTGACACTGAAAGGCAGCTCAGATGGGCACTGATATGTGGCATTGATGTGCACTGGTAGGCACTGATATGTGGCACTGATCGGCACTGGCAGGTGGCATGGATAAGCACTGAGCTGGCACTGATGGACACTGACAGGTGGCAGTGCTGGGGCTACACTGATCATCAGGGCACACTAATCATCAGTGCCCTGATGATTAGTGTACATGTACCCTTTGAGGAATGCCGATTACCAGCTTTCCTCTCGAGCTGTCAGCGTGACAGCTCGTGAGGAGAGAAATGCCGATAACCGGCATTTCCCTGTTTATATGCGATCAGCTGTGATTGGACACGGCTGATCATATGACTGAGCCGACATCTTTGGCTCTTTCCATGGATCGGTGATCCACTGTGTCCAAGGGACACAGCGCACTGCCAATTGCCACGCTGCGCACTCCCAGAGCCGCGCATGCACGGTGAGAATGGGAGGATGTCATATGATGTCCTCGCAGAACGAGAGAACCACCTTGCACCCGTCATTGGACTATATGGAGGGCGGGAGGCGGTTAACTAAGGCTTTGGGGCATGCTTTAGAGCTTCAAAGTTGAAGAAGGCAAGATGACTGCTGTGAAGAAGGGGCATATTTAAAGTTTATTAAATGTAGAACCCTGCAGTCACTATGTCTGGTCTCCCACAGTACCCAGAACAAGAAAATACAATTATTTTGGTAAATATAAACTGCTAAATAATACCTTTTCTTATCAGCAATATACTGTATAGCAGTCTTGTGACTTCTATCACTGTCCAGCAGAGCACTGGTTAAAGCTTGTAGGGTGAATTTTCATTCTCCCCTGATTGTCCTATGACCCCTGACACTCTCTCTGGACAGCACTGATTGGCCATGTGCTGATCACATGCACTCTCCCAAAAAAAAAAAAAACTCTTTAGCAATACACACCAAACTGAGCATGTGCAGCTTGCCCCCAATGCTCTGTTGTATCAGCAGATGGATTGAGGACAGTAGAGGAAGGGGAAGATCAGAGAAGACAGGATCAAATACCCTTTTTACACAATGCAGAGGATTAACCCCTTAGGTTCCACAGTGAGTATAACAAGCATGTTTTACTACATATATAGACTGATTTTACTGTTATGGGTTTAGTAACACTTAGTAAGCTTTTATGTGACTTTTGAATTCTGAGAAAATTAACCACTTTACAACCACGCTATAGCCGAATAACAGCTACAGTGTGGTTGTCCAGTTCTGGGAGGGCATCACCCAGCACTGTCAGTGATTGCTGTGTCCTATGGATACAGCTGATCACATGACTAGGTAAAAAACCAATCACAGTGGCCTCTTACCACGTGACCAGCTGGGTCCAATGACACAGCAGATCACAAAGTAAATACAGTTGCTGGTTATCGGCAGCACTTTTGTCACAGTGTGAGGAAAGTACTGCTGATAACCAGCAAATGTCACAGGACACCTGCACTGATAATCAGAGCATTGATAATCAGAGCACTGATGATCAGTGCCCTGATCATCAGTGCCACCCAACAGTGTCCAGCAGTGCCACCCACCATTGCCCAGCAGTGTTACTCATCAGTACCCAGCAGTGCCACCCACCAGTGCCCAGCAGTGCCTCCCATCAGTGCTGCCCAGCAGTTGCGCCTATCAGTGCCGCCAGTCAGTGCCGCCAATCAGTGCCTCCTGTCAGTGGCCATCATTGCAGAATATCAGTGCAGTATAATCAGTGCCTCCTCATCAATGCCCACCAGTGCCACCTCATCAGTGCAGCCTATCTGTGCCACCTTATCAGTGCTGCCTATCAATGCCCATCAGTGCTGCCTATCAGTGCAGCCTCATCAATGCACATCAGTAAAGAAGAAAAATTACCTGTTTGCAAAATATTCTAATAAAAAAAAGAAAAAGTTATTTTTTTTTAAATTTTTTGCTCTTTTTTTGTTGATTGTGCAAAAAAATAAAAACCCAGTGGTGATTAAATACCACCAAAAGAAAGCTCTATATGCGCAAAAAAAAAGATAACAATTTTATATGGATACAATGTTGCATGACCGCGCAATTGTCATTCACAATGCAACAGCACTGAAAGCTGACAATTGGCCTGGGCATGAAGGGGGTAAAAGTGCCCGGTGGGCAAGTAGTTAAGGGATGGGGATTTCTATGTCTGGGGAACAGTTTGCTTGGTGGCTAAAAATATGTGTTATAAGTGTATGACGAGGGATGTTATCAATAGGTTTTTGAAAGAGAGCCTCCCAAGGGTCCTTATGAAAGTTGCTTAGCAGAATTGAGTTGATTATGGTATAGACGCTTATCTGCAAATGACGAACTACACTTCAGAATTTTCCGCAACTTTTACCCTCTGCATAGATTTCTGTCCAGCACTTTTGTTTGATAGATCACTACTTTGAATAGTGACTAATGGGCTTGGATTTAAATGCTTCTGATTACAATTCTTTCAAACCATTTTGCTGAGCATCTGCTTCGAGTATTTAGGAATTTAAATCTGTCCAGCAAACAAGCACAATGTTGCTTGTTAAAGAAGACCTAGTGTCAGTAATATTTTTACATATTAAAGGCTTGCATGCCAAGCAGTGTGCAAGTGTGACATGTATATGTATACTTTACCTCTGACATAGATAACTGGACTCCAACTTACAATGTTGTCATCTTTCTTCCTCCCAAGAGGGTCAGAGCCATCTTTGTTCTGCACCATCCTTAGTAAGCATCTACTTCCTTGGCTTAGATGCCGGTACAATCCCCATGCCTGTATAGTTGTCTTTACGTACTTGGCTGTAGGTACAAATCTATTATAAGGATCAGCCCCCATGTGCTGCCTCTCACCTTGTTATAATGTACAGTCTGAGTGAATGAGGAATAAAGGAGGAGACTGAGTATTGCTTTCCTCCTGTCTGCTGCAAATTGATGATGTAATTATCCTGTTTGTGCATTTCATACCTTGTGAAGGCCCCCATTGCTTACTATTCTGCAGAGTTAGCTGTCTGGCCAAGTTTAAGTCAGTGATCCAGAAAAAGTATGGAAGTAAAAAGATCTGACTATACTCTACGGCTAAGTTTAAACTTGCGTCTACACAGCCACGCCTTTGAAAAGCAAACCATGTTTGGACCGCTTTTCAGTGGTGTTTGGCAAGTGATGAGGAGGCAATACGACTCCTCTTCATTGCTTGATTTAACTCTGTAAATGCCCTCAACCAAAAAATGACACAAACGTGTGTTGCATACAGTTGTGGGACACTTGTGGTGTGTCCCCATTCATTTTAAGGGGGACTGATAGTTTTTACTGCAGATGCAAGAAATGCATATCAACAGCAGCATGTGAACATCCCTGTCCGCCATCATTGCAGCTTGTTGGGGGTGCGCTAAAAAGTATCTCCATTTTTTAAAGCAGTATTAAACCCAAAGACAAACATTAATTATACTGCAGCTTAATATTTCTTAATTTTCTTTTTTTTGAAGAATTTCTTTCTTTTTTTCATTTTATGATCTGAGCAGTGAGTCTGTTGTTTTTATTTATTATTTATTTCAGATACTTATATAGTGCTGTGAATTTACACAGCGCTTTACATGGTGGTGTATTTAGGTTTCATGCTGCCCTAGGCAACACAAAAATTGACTCCCCCTCCCCCCGTGGAGAGACCCTGTCACTGACCAACACCCCCCCTCCCCCACGAAGAGAGCCTGGCATTGACCAACAACACCCCAGTCCCCCACCCTAGAGAGCCTTGCACTACCAACGCCCCCCATACACTGACAACCCCCCCACCCCCACCCGGCGAGACACTCACCTTCACAGCTCCGGACATCTCCTGGAACAAGATTCAAGCTCTGCATACACCATCAAGCAGCCCGCAGCCTCTCTCAGATCCCACCTGGTCCCCATGCTGTGTATGTCCCTTCTTTTGGGGGGCGGTGCTGCCCCCCTAAAAAATGCTGCTGCCCCCCCCCCCCCCCCCCCTCCGAAAAATGCCACCCTAGGCAAATGCCTTGTTTGCCTTGTGGTAAATATGCCCCTGGCTTTACATATATATTGCACATTCACATCAGTCCCTAACCCTCAAGGAGTGTACAATCTAAGGTCCCTAACTCACATTCATACATATACATACTAGGGGCCAATTTAGACAGGAAGCAATTAACCTACCAGCATGTCTTTGGAGTGTGGGAGGAAACCAGAGTACCCAGAGGAAACCCACGCAGGCACAGGGAGAACATGCAAACTGCAGGCAAGTGGTGCCATAGTTGGGATTCAAACCAACGACCCTAGTACTGCCGGGCGGAAGGGCTAACCATTTAGCCACTGTGCTGCCCAACAAAATAACAAGCTCTTTTCCAAATGTATTAATTTACAGGGATGATACAAACCATTGAACACTGACAGGGGTGCTTATAATGATGTTTTTATTTATTCATACAAAAACATTGTCCCCAAAAAAACAAAAACAGTTTGCTGTGACGAATTATAAACTGTGAGCTGGAATTTGACTTAAATTTGTTAGTGTATTTAAATCTGTACATCTAACACTATCCTTCCCCTAGAATGACAATGATGCTGTCTGCTGTCCCTCTGTGCTCATTCATCCAGAGTGGGGGCACTAATATAGGAAGTGTGCTACTGGCCAGATCACCAGGTAAAAATAAAGGAAAAAGCATAAATAAGAAAATGAATGCAGTCACCACACCGAACAATTGGTAAGAAATATATGTTTGAGGTGATTATAGCCGTATTAGTGCACTTGCGACAGAAACAATTGAGTACTGTCCGTGATACTTTTTTTATTTGCACTAGCATACAATTTTGAGGACAAGCTTTCAGGGAGTGTCCCCTTCTTCAAGATCCAGGACCTTGAAGAAGGGGTCATACCCCGAAAGCTTATCCTCAAAATTGTATGCTAGTGCAAATAAAAAAAGTATCATGGACAGTACTCAATTGGTTCTGTAAGAAATATATAACATTTTTGGTTTTGCGTTAAATACAACTTTAACACCCCCAACCACGAGCCTAAACAAGCCCTAACTTTCCAGAGTATACGTTTTCGTGTCTGTGACAGCACTAAAGATAGAGGGTCACTGTATTAGCCAGGGAGAGAGATGTAGTGTTTTTTAGGAGAAGATGTCAACACGGTCAGCCCCTGTATTACTATTTTTAACGGCAAAGTGTTTTTTTCATATACAGTTGTGTATTACAATATTATTATAAATGTATCTGTGCAAACAGCATGTTTTATTTTGTCTGCTAAGGCTCCATGTACACGGGACATTTGGAAAACACTTCTGAATGATGGAAACTGACTGCTGGAAAACGTAGGTTAAAAAACGTCTGTTTAGCCGCGTTTGCATACCGCGTTTATGAGCGTTTGCGTTTAGAAGCGTTTTTTAAAGATAACTTCAGGAGACCTTCCAAAATGCCCAGAATGCACTGAAAAACAGTAAAAAATTAACTATTTCAGACATTTTGAGAGAAATAGAGAGAGCAGAAGCAGAAAGCAGTATTTGTGAGCTGTTTTTTTTTTTGTGGTGTTTGGATGTGTTCCAGCTCATTTCTGTGCAGAAAATATTGCAGCAGTGTCTAACATATTTTCTTTCATGCGAAACCTCAAAGTATGGTGTACCAGGTCCATTTGAGCACTGGGAAAAACGCTTTGCATGCATTTTTCTGGCAGCATCTGGAAATGGAAGAGTTAAAAAAAAATTTCCAAACACGGTTAGCCGCGTTTACACGTGTTTGGCGTTTGAAACACTGATAAAATCTACTCCTGAACGCAAGTTTGGTGCGTTCAAAAAAACGACTGTAAACTCAACTACCTGTAAACGACTGTAAACGACTATGTGTACATGGACACATAGGAAAACATTAGGGAGAGTTCAGGGGCTGCGGAAAAAAATGCAGAAAAAAAGCTCCTAAATGTGAGTTTATCAGTTGCAGTGTGCATGGAGCCTAAAAAGGATGCCACTTCAAGGGTAGCATATATATTAAAAAATATAATTTGGAAATATTGGGGGTTTAGAACTAGTTTAAAAAAATGCAAAACAAATAAAAAGTATGACTATTGCTAACATGGGATCTACAATCACCCAGCAAGGTAAAGGGTATAAATCATTATAAATAAAAATTGTAGTAATTATTTATGATGTATTATAGGACAAGCTTTTGATTAAACCTATTTTTAGAAAAAGTTTGTTGACAATGTCTCTGCATGAAGACACTTAGTATATTAATATTGCACATCCAACACTAAAACTCAGCCAGCTCATGGAAGGGGTTGTTGCACCACCTAGTGTCCAGCAAATCCACTGACTAGACATGAAGGGAAATGATAGATTATTTTAAAAAGTCTGTATAACCGTTTTTGGTGGAAAACCCAGGAGAGAATAGGATGTTAACAGAATGCCCCCATTTCCCCCTGAAAAAAGAATGAGTATTCATGCTAGTAAATGTTTTGCTAGCCAATATTAAATGATAAAGAAGAGCTTATTCAACAGAGAAGCAAGATAT